CTCACCCCCCGTCCCAGCAGCCCCCCGGCATCTCTCTGCGGTTTCACATGGCCCATCGCTACGACACCCCCAAAGTGCCTGCTGTGGGGCTGCTCCACTGCAGGGCGCCTGTGGGCAATGGCATGAGCTGCACTGCCCACCCGGGAGGACTTGGGCCTCCCCCACCTCTGTGGGGGAGGAGTGAGGTCCGGACCCCTGTCAATCACCCTGGGGTATCGGCACCAGCATCCATAGCTTGCTCCCACCTCCCACCACCTGCATCTGCCCAGAGGGTCCCACACGACCCACTCGCTTACCAATTGTAGCAGAAAGCACCAGATAAGACACAGTGGTCCAGAAGATGGCCATCAAGGTGCCCTTGGGGATGGCCACGGCGGGGTCCTGCCCAAGGGAGCCGCAGAGAGAAGTAAGACAGCTTTCCAGCAGCACCGCTAAAACAGTGTTTTATGTGGGGCTGCTACACAAGAGGAACTTTAATTCATTGCGACACAAAGCCGCAGAGCATCTCCCGGCTGAGCCTCCTTCAAAGTTTCCAGAAGGAATAAAAGAGTGTCTAAAAGTTGGACCAAAACCGAAGCCCTGGGAGAAATGGGGCTTAAACCCTGAGAATACTGCTCAGGCAGCAACAGCCAAAACACACCTTCAGGTCACCTGAAATGTTGGCCCCAGCCAGGATGCCAGTTGCTGATGGGAAGAAAATGGAAAACAAGCCAAAGAAGGAGCCATCAGGTCCACGCCAGTTGGGTACGAAGTTCTGGGCAAAGATGTCAGCTGAAGAGGAAGCAGAGGAGAAGCATGTGGGGCTTTCCAGCCACCTTTCTCCTAGCTGAAGCATCTCAGCGCTGGATGGAGGCATGCTGCTAACGGCAGGTAACCCATGGAGAAAGACACTGTGCTTTTAATGACACCTCTCAGTGAGGAGCGCCTTCCCACAGCAAACATCTCCCTCAACAGCAGCAAAGAGCCAGGCTCCAGCAACGTGCTTGGACCTGTTGAGCATCACCCCAACCCGTGGTGGACCCACCTCGGTAGCTGAAGAAGCCCTTCGATTGCTTCTCAGCGGTGGCCGGGATCACCGTCCCCACCAGGTAGTTCATGAAGGAAACCAAAATGACCAGGAAAAACAGTATCTGTGCCTGCCAGACCAGAAAGAGCCAGAAGAGGGGTTGGTCTTTGGGTGCCGAGGGGGTGAAAAAAGGTCATTTGGAGAAACTCTTGCCCATTTTGGGGGAGCTCTGGGCATCCTGATCTCCTCAGATGGCCAATGGCCAGCAGGAACGATGTTCATCAGCCCAAGGGAGTAAGGTGAGCAGAAGAAGGGAGCGTTACCTTGGCCTCCCACTCCATGCCCGCCAGGGAGATGCCCAGCAGCACCGTCACGGTGATGACCCCGATGATGCGTATGTCGTTGGTGGGGTCCACGATGAGGGAGTTGTGCTCCTGGGGAGGGGGAACCATCCACAACGTGGAAATAACCCTTCCCTTACCCAAACCACTGGGGTCACCATGAGTTGCAGCAGCCAGTGGTTGATTATCCGTGGCCCAATGTTAACATAAATGTTGATAATTAATGCAGGTTGGGTGGGGAGGAGGTAGAGATGGAGGAGATGGGACCCAGAGGACACACAGAGCTGCTCTCTCACCTGCAGGAGGTCCCGGACGGTTTCGGCGAAGCCCACTGTGTGCATGGCCACGGCCACCGCGTTGGCAAAGGCAAAGATCAGCCCGATGGAGCCGCCCAGCTCCGGCCCCAAGCTCCGCGAGATGAGGAAGTAGGTGCCCCCTGAGGTGGCGGGAACACCCCAAGGAATTAGCTGCCTCCCCCATGTTTTTTTGGGGGAACCCCTGCACCTCGCAGCCCGTGCCAGGGGTTCATGTCCACATGGTGTCCACAGGGTGGAGGAGACTCTCTGGGGTGGGTGTGGGCTGTGGCGGGAGGGGGGCGGGATGCTACCTGACTTCACTTTGCCATTGGTGGATATAGCAGAGATAGACAAGCCGGTGATGGTGGTGACTGTCACGGACATCAGGATGATGACCCACGTCAGGGCTGCAGGGAGAGGGCACTGCTTCGTTCCTGCATCCCCCCAGCCCATAGACCCCCCCAGGACACCTCCCCTAGGAGACCTGCAATGAAACCCACAATCACCCCCCTACT